AGTTTCTCACTTGTTGTCGCAATTGAGGAATCCAATATTGCCTTCTCACGGTCATCATCGTATGATCAGTACTTCGATGATAGAGACCATGTGCTTCAGCTATAATCAACGCTAGTTGTGTTTAAGGGGCGATAAAGATGGGATTTTTCGTTCTCAGATCAAGCGTTGACATCCCCAACCGTCCTCGTGAGCGCCATATTGAATGGTTGTCTTGAAATAAGCGTAAGGTGTTTTCCATAGACTTCCTGTAGTCAGTGGAGATATGGCACCGTTGATGATCTTGTATGATAGCCAATCGTGCAGCGAGAATGCTTGAGCCAGTTATAGGGAGTGTACAATCGAACATCTTTCATGAATGCAATCTTACTGAGTATTTGCATTTGACGATCCCTTTTCAGTACTCGTGTCAATCTTTTGATGAATATAAGAGCTATCGCTACCGCGCGCTTTGCTGACTGGAAGCTTGAAAATCTCGCAATGTCCAAAAAAGTTGTTGCCCCGTGGTCGTTGAAAGCTGTTTTATAGACGATTAGTGCAGTCGTAGCGCTTCCTTCTTCTTGTTTCGTGTTCCTCTTTTGAGGATAGAGCTTCGTGGGCCAATGCTCTTCCGTTTTTTGTGGGAAACCTGGTCCTATCCACCATGAATGACTTTCGAGCTCGCAGGACTTCAAACCTCGAGTTCCTGCATCCGCGGGGTTATCTTCCGACGTTACATAATGGAAATAAACTACCACTCCGCACTCTTTTAGAGTGTTTACTATTTCCTGAATCTCTTTGATTCTGTTCCGCACTAAAACTCCCAGTTTGGTTTGCTGTGGGTCTAATGATACCCAGCTTAGTGCAACTTGTGAATCCGAAAGGATGTGTATCTTTCTTGGGGAGGTGTCCGTCCTTACGGCTTTGAATACAGCAAGTATTAGTCGCGCTGCTATCGTGATTGCGTTCAATTCCATTTTTGGTATAGTAGTGCGTACCTTAATCGACGGCAGTCTCGATTTTGCCATAATCAAGCGGGTTGATTGCTCGTTGAGCAGGTAAACACATGCTGCCATACCTTCGTCACTTGCGCCTGCGAAGACCGCCAACCGAAATTCTTTTGCATCACTTGCTGCCATGCGGGGTAAGAATTTTTGAAATCCGTCCACTTCTTCTCTCAGAGAATTCCACCTTTCTTTGAGACTGTCTGGAAGTTTCTCATCCCATTGCAATCCGTATTTCCACAGGTCTTGCTGGAAAACCTTCATCTTGACCATAAGCGGAATCAACCAGCCCAACGGATCGTATACAGAGGCGATGTGGCGGGCAACGAGTCTTTTTGTAACATTTTCTTCTTTAGGTATTCTGCATTTAATCGTGATCAAGTCCCTTTCTGCATCCCATTGAAGTCCCAATATTTTTTGCAATTTACCATGAGCCAAAGCTTCTTCGGGAAGTATTTTAGGTAGTACGGCTGTGTTTGACAAAAATTCGCGGAGGTTCATGCCCATATCCGTAAATATTTTTCTTGCCTTGATAACCTTTTCATAAAGCTCCTCTTCCTTGTGTGCTGTTAGAATCA